CCTGTAGCAAGAGGAATCAGCACGCCTTCTGTGAACTCCAGGGGGCTTATGTGGCTGGAGCACCGAGGCCAACGGGGAACAGTTCTGGTTGGGGATGAAAGGGTTGGCAGCGACCATGCCATGTAGAGACTTATAGGCCATTATCCCCATCAGCTTATCATGTACAGCAAGTTAGATCTCCATCTCCTCCTCAGCTCATGGACAGCTTTGGTTTACCCAAAGCTCCATTCATATCTCTGCTTAACAGAGGGCCAAATGATACTCAGAGTCTCCCCAGAGAAAGTGGTAGAAGTTTTCCCCTTCCTGCCCCACTCCCCCAAGAAAGTGGAAAAGAGAGTACAGAGAGATTGAGTTTCACACTGATGTGAATTATGCCACTGCCCTGGGAAGGCAGAGCATCTAGTTTGCGGTTTAAATGACTTTTCATCTGGGTCATAACCTGGGAGGTACAGATGAGAAGGGCTGGAGAGGTTCTTATTGGGTGTGGGTAAGAGAAGGCTGGTGTTTTCATGGAAGATTTTCCAAGGGAGGCAAGGTGGGAACAGGTCCCTGAAGAACAGGCAGCCAACATTACTCTGGCCTAACCCACACATTCTCTTTTAATACCTGCTCTATAAAGTAGGTATTTGCATCCTTACTTTGCACTGAGAGGAAGAAACTTGCCTAAAGTCACTGTCTTTAAATGACAAAGCTAGGGTTCAAACAGCTCTCTGGGACTCTTAAACCTAATCTGCTAGCTCAATCTACAGCCTCTTTGAGGAAAACAAAATGAGCAAAGGTAAAGAAGTGAATGGGCAGACAGTCATGTGCTCATTCATTCATTCATTCATTCATTTATTCTCTTGGCAAATGCCATACAGCACTCACTATGTACCAGGCACTGCAGTAAAAGAAACTCTGAACTAGGAGTTAGAGGACCTCAGCTAGAGACCTGGCCCCAAGATGTAGCTAACCACTTCCCTTCTCTGGCCTCAGTTTTTCCCACTGTGAAATGGGGATAATGTTCCTACCAGCCTCCCTCTCAGGAGTACTGTAGAGGGTCCAAGTAGAAAGTGCATATGTTCAGTAGCAAAGACATGGAACCAACCCAAATGCCCATTAATGATAGACGGGATAATGAAAATGTGCTATATATACACCATGGAATGCTATGAAGCCATAAAAAGGAGCGAGAGCATGTCCTTTCTATGGACATGGATGAAGCTGGAAGCCTTTATCCTCAGCAAACTAATGCAGGAACAGAAAACCAAACACTGAACGTTCTCACTTATAAGTGGGAGCTGAACAATGAGAATACATGGACACATAGCGAGGGAGCAACACATACTGGGGCCTATTTGGGGAGCAGGGGAGGAAGAGCATCATGAAGAATTGCTAATGGATGCTGGGCTTAATACCTAGGTGATGGGTTGATCTGTGCAGCAAACCACCATGGCACACATTTACCTATGTAACAGATCTGCACATCCTGCACACGTACCCTGGAATGTAAAAGTTGAAGGAAAAAAAAAAAAAAAAAAGAAGAAGAAAGTGCATGTGTTGATGCTTGAGAGTGTTTTTAGTTCTGATGGGAGGTACACTCCTCCTCCTGCAGAACGAGGAGGTGGTTAGCTAGCTTGATGACAGAGAGGGACATTTAAGCCGACATCAGGGAGGAGCTGAGAGAAGTATTTCCAAAAGAGAGAATGGAGTGTGAAGGCTGTATGGCAAGAAGGAGCTTGCCACACTGAAGGGACAGAAAGAACAGGGAATCTGGAGTGGAATGAGGTGGGATTGCAAAATGACACTGAGAGCTGGATGTCCCAGATGAGTCCAAGGTCAAGGTCCCACAGTGAACATGCTGGGGATACAATATAATGGAGCCAGCCTTGGGCTGGGCACTATGAGGGCTACAAAACCCGTGAGTCACCTGGACACCTCCTGCTTTCTTACTCCCCGCATCTATCAGTCACCGAGTCCTAGTAGGGCTGATTCCTTAATAAATCCCATGTTTTTCCACTTCTCTCCACCTCTGCCAATGCCAAGGTCCAAGCCATTGCCACCTTTCACCTAGAGGACTCTGAAAGTCTCCTCACTGCCCCCAGCGCCCCCACTGCTTCCCTACTCTGCCCCATTCCAGTCCATTCTCTCCTCAGCAACCACATAGGCCTTTTGGAGAAAACTCTGCCCATATCACATCTCTGCTTAACTCCTCCCCGGGACTTCCTTTACCCTTAGGCTAAAATCTTAAACCCTTACCTATCTGGGCCTGCCTGGAACATCCAGCCCTCAGTGTCACTTCACAGCTCCCTTCTCTTTTCTGGCCCTTCAATGTGTCAAACTCCTTCCTGCCCCAGAACCTTCACATACTGTTCTCTCTGTTGGAAACACTCTTCCCTGGTCCCAGCTTAAATGTCCCTTATTCTGGGACTCCCTCCCTAATCTTCTCTCAGATGCTCTCCAGACACTTCCAGCCTCTCCTTTGTAGCACTTATGAGACCTAATTAAAGCATTACTTCAGTAATTATTTGCTAAATTCTTTCTCCTGGGACAGACGGTGGAAGAGCTCACCCATGTCCAGTCTATTCTCTTTCCAGAGGAGCACTGTATTTCCCAGCCTCCCTTGCAGCAGGCAGGACCATGTGACTAGTCTTGGCCAATGGATGGTGAGAAGGGGTGTATGTGTCACCTCCAGGCAGAAGCAGTGAAAAATCCATGCCTGAAAAAAAAAATCCATTCTTGGCTGGGCGTCGGGTGGCTCATGCCTGTAATCCCAGCACTTTGGGAGGCTGAGGTGGGCAGATCACCTGAGGTCAGGAGTTTGAGACCAGCCTGACCAACATGGAGAAACACGTCTCTACTAAAAATACAAACTTAGCTGGGCATGGTGGCATGCGCCTGTAATTCCCAGCTACTTGGGAGGCTGAGGCAGGAGAATCATTTGAACCCAGGAGGCAGAGGATGTGGTGAGCCGAGATCACATCATTGTGCTCTAGCCTGGGCAACAAGAGTGAAACTCCATCGCAAAACAACAACAACAACAACCAGAAACACCATCCATTCTCTTTCTTCCTGCCATGGTAACTGAGAAGGTCACAAGTTCCAGTGGGTGCAGCTCCAAAATGGAAGGGACTCCTCAGCCTAGGTCTCTGAGTGACTAAAGCAGAGGAACCATGATGGGCATGTGGCACAAGTGGGCAATAAATGACTCTGGTGCTATGTCACTGGGATTTTGGAGTTCTTTGTTACTGCAGCATAGTCTGGTTAAGACAGTGCTCTATTTGTGCAGAGCTGGGGTCTTCTTCACTGCTGCCTCTCCAGAGCCTGAGACCCTAACTGAAACATTGGAGTAGGCGCTTTGTAAATACTTGAATGAGTGAAAAAACAGAAAATGTGAGACATGGTTCCTTCCTTAAAGAATTTAATCCAAGAGATTGATTCTTACACACGCAATAGTTAGAATACAATTAGGGGCTAACTGCTAAAAAAAGAAAGGGAGAGGGGTTAATGGGCTGGAGCCGCCAGGGAAGGCCTCCTAGAGGAGAGTAAAGTTTTGCAGAATTGGAGAGGATGACAGTGGGCTTGCTGTCCATCCATTCAGCAAACATTTATGCCGATGCAGCATGATGAGTGTGTTGCCAGCAGTGTGGCTGGAGGACCATGGACACTTTGGGAACCAGAGGAAAGTGCCCTTTCCATGTGAAGGATCTAGAATGGCTTCACACAGGAGGTGATGCGTGAGCTAAGACTTGACATGCAGGTGTTCACTACAGAGATAAGAGATGAGGAGAAAAGGACTAAGAATACCAGACAGAGGGAACAGCATGAGCAGAGGCCAGGCATCATGAAGGTGGATGGTGTGTTCAAAGACAGGGCAGCATCTAGTGTGGCTGGATTTGGGGGAAAGGGGGATGGGTGCCAGTGGCAAAGAGCTGAGCTCAGTTTCTCCATCCTTAGCTTCCTGCACCTCACCCCAACTGCCTCCATCCAAATCATATTCATAGCATCTTGGAAGGTTCTGGAAGGCTTTTAAAAAAATGTCTAAGCTAAGACCTGAAGGATAAATTGAAGGTGGTCAGAAAAGGTGAGGCGAAAGGGCAAGGGACGGTGTTCTAGGCAGAGGGAACAGCATAGGCAAAGTCCTCAGAAGTGAGATAGCAAGGCCTTAGATGGCAGCTCATTTTGGCTGGCTGGAGCACAGCTTTCCAGGTGGTTAGGGAGGAGACTGGTGGGGCAAAGGTGGGCCAGCGTGTACCCTTCCCCCATAAATTCCTTCCAAAGGCTCCAGCTCAGCACTCAAGGCCTTCAGGATCCTGTCTCCCACATGCCTTTCCATTCTAAATTTCTGTGCCTTTGCATGTGCTGTTGTTCTAAGTGCCTAGAATGATGATGATAATGATGATATTGATGATAACATAACTTTAGAATGTGTTAGGTGCTATTTCATTGAACCACTCAGCAATGCCATGATTAATACCTTTTAAAATTAATTAAAGCCTTAATTAATTAAAGGTATTAATTTCAAAATTTATAGTAGACTCTATTTTTTAGAACATTTTTAGATTTATAGAAAAATTGAGACGATATTACAGAGAGTTCCCATATACCTCCTCTAATTTTCCTATGAGTAATACCTTATGTTACTATTTGTTATAATTTGTTACAATTCTTGGTATATACTTTCCTTGATACATTATTGTTATTAATAACTAAATTCCATAGTTTATTTAGATTGTTTTTACCTAATGTCTTTTACATTTAGTAGTTATGTGTCTTTTGTCTTTTTTCGGTGGGGGAGGGGGGCGGCAGAGTTTTGCTCTTGTTGCCCAGGCTGGAGTGCAGTGGCGCCATCTCAGTTCACTGCAACTTCCGCCTCTGGAGTTCAAGCGATTCTTCTGCCTCAGCCTCCTGAGTAGCTGGGATACAGGCACGCGCCACTATGCCCGGCTAATTTTTGTATTTTTAGTAGAGATGGGGTTTCACCATGTTGGTCAGGCTGGTCTCAAACACTGACCGGGTGATCCGCCCGCCTTGGCCTCCCAAAGTGCTGGAATTACACGCGTGAGCCACTGCGCCTGGCCGTGTCTTTAGGCTCCTCTGGCTGTGATGGTTTCTCGGACTTTTCCTTGATTTGGATGACCTTGATAGTTTTGAGGGGTACTGGTCAGCCAGCAATTTTGTTGGATAGCCCATTGTTGGAGTCTGTTTTTCTCACAAGGCTGGGGTTATGGGTTATTGGGAGGAAGACCACAAAGGTAAAGTGTCATTTTCATCACATAGTATCAAGCACGTATCAGCATGATTTGTGGCTGTCGATCTTGGCCTTGATCACTTTTCTAAGTAGCAGTCATCAGGTCTCTCCCCGTAAAGTTACTCCTTTCCCCTCCCTTTCCATACTGTGCGCTTGGGGAGGACGTCACTATCTGCAATCTACTCCTAAGGAGTAGGGAGTGATGCTCCCCCTCCCTGAGTGTCTGCATAAATCATTTGGAATTCTTCTGCATAGGCAATTTGTCTCTTCTTCCCCCGTTTATTAATTTATTATCTCATTGAATTTCTCAGCAATGGGTTGGTCCTTTGATTATCATCATTTCTGGAAACTGGAAGGCCTTCCTTTCTTCCCCACCTCGCTCACCTCAGAGCCAATTTCTGAAGCCCTCTCCACCTCTCTGGAAAAAAGAGTGACCTCCTCTGTGTTCTCCCGCCATGCTTTAAAATTCCAACTAATTCACGCCACACAGGTTTCTTGTGCCTCTGCTCTGTGCCAGGCACTGTGCTTGGGGCTTGAGAACAAGCAGCCCCTATGGGCCCTGTCTTCCAGTTGCCCACAGTGTTTGCCATCCTGTGCTAGAATAGAATCTTGGTGAGGGCAGGGGCATCATCCAGTTTTTTAATTGCTATGCTCCCAGCCAACCAGTACAGTGTTTGATGTTTAGTAGGTCCTCTATGAATATTTACTGAATTTGGAAATGCTTCCTGGAGGACAAACACCGGCAGATGATTGTTTATCTGTGTGCCCTTGCCTGGGGACTGCGCGCTCCCTGAGGGCAGGGCCAGCCCTCATCCATCCTGGCCCAGCGGTCGGGTGGTGGTGGATGTCATAGAAATCTAAGCCAGTGAAGAGATCCGGGAACCGGCTGCCTCCTCAGGTAGAAGTGAAGTTTGGAAGCTGACACAGCTCGGGAGGCCGAATCAGGAGGACTTGGTGACTGATTGGCTGGGGAGGGTGAGGCGGGAGGAGGAGTCATACAGATGGCTCTGAGGTCTGGAGCCGGGGGACAGCCGGTGCCACCTCTGATAGACTCTGCGAGAAGAGCCGCTGCCAGCTTCAGGCCGCCCCATCCGTTGGGGATCCGGCCTAGAGCGAGGGAGGGGTGGCTGGGCCTGTGCAAACTTCTACTCCCCACCCCTATGTCCTCGTCTTAAAAAAAATCGGCCTGGATTTTGAGCACGGTCGTTTGTTATCAGGGGTGAGGGTTCATTCTGGGGGTCCCCTCCAGGCGGCCTTCTTCGAGGGAGACCCCCAGGGGCAGCCTGGCACCGCACGGGCTCGGCCTGGTCAGGACCGTGGCCCGCCAGGCCCATGTCCCTAGCCCGCCATCACCCGGGAGTGGGGTGGCGAGGCAGCCGCCGGGCCTGGGCGGGACAATGGCCGCGGCCGCCGGGGCCCCGGGAGCCCCCGCGCTGGGGAAGGGGCTGTCCTAGGGCCGGGCGCCGGTGCCCTCCCCGCGCGGCTCAGGGGGGCGGAGTGGGGGCGAGGAGTTCCTTTGTGGCTCTGCCTCCGGCGCGGAGCGAGCGGGGGGGCGCAGCGCAACTTTGCCAGGCGGCGGCGGCGGCGGCGGCGGCGGCGGTGAGCGCAAGACGAGGCCCCGGGGCCCGAGCGGGGACCCCAGCGCGCGGCCCGCCCCCGCCCCCCGCCCGGCCCCCTCCCCTCGCGCGCAGTCGCCAGCGCCCGGCGCTGCCCACTCGCGGGAGGGCCCGGGGCCGGACGGGCTGCGCAGCCGGAGAGGCGGGGGCCCGACGCGGCCCCCCCGGAGCCGGGCGCCTGGCGCGGGGGCTCGCCGAGCGCACGGGGGGCCGCGCGGCGCTGCAGACCCAGCCTCCCGCCGCCGCCGCCGCAGGAGCCCTTGCAGCCCCCACCCAGGCAAGCAGGGAGGAGCGGACAGTGGGTTGGCTTGTGGGATGACATCATGTGTGTGCCATAGCGCCGCGCTCATTGCGGAACGAGTGAACAGCAGGCGACCGCGCGGCGCTGCAGACCCAGCCTCCCGCCGCCGCCGCCGCCGCCGCCGCCGCCGCCTCGGCGCTTGCAGAACCCAGAAGTGAACAGCAGGCGACCCGGAAGGTTTGCGCGCGGCTCCGCAGCGAGCCGGAGCCGGAGCCGGAGCCGGAGCCCGAGCCCGGAGCCTGAGCCGGAGCCCCAGCCCGGCCCTGCTCGGGCCGCCGGGCGCGGGGCTGCGGCCGCGTCCCGGAGGCGCCGCCAGTATAGCCAGGTCCGTGCGGGCCCGGGGCGCGCGGGGAGCGGGCCCAGCGGCGGCGGGCGCCTGCCCGCGGGAAAGTTGCGCCGAGTTGCGGGCGGGGGCCGGGCCGGGGCGCGGGCGCTGTCAGCGCGGGCCGGGGCGCTCCGAGGGCCCGGGGCCGCCTGCGCCTCGAGCCCAGCCCGGAGCGGCGGCGGCGGCGGCGGGGCGCGCGGGGTAGGAAGTGTCTCCCGCGGCGTGTCTGGGGCTGGTCTCCGAGTGTGTGTGCGTGTGTGTGTGTGTGCGCGCGCGCGTGTGTGTGTGTGTTTTCTTAAGCCGGGCTATTCAAACCCTGCTGCAATTCTCCGGTAAACAATGATTCATGGGGCTTAATGCAAATAAACGGATTGCAAACGGCGCGGTTCGCGCACTTTGCAGCCGGCCCGGTGGAGCGGCCAGTGCCGGATTTCTCCCTTTTTTTGCAGATCTGCAGAATATGGCGTCCCTGTCCTGTTTTAAAAATAAGCCAGGCTGCCATTTTTGTTTTTCTTTTGTCTGAAAATTTTAATAAAACTGTCTGAGAATGTGGGAGAGGCGGCTGGAAGCAGAGGGGGCACCCGAAGGGTTGGCTTTTTTCCTTTTCTTTGGAGAGAGCCGCGAGCCTTTCGGGGAGGTGAGACACAATGCAATTGCACTTTAAAGAAAAAAAAAAAGGGAAGCTGCCGGGCGATTTGGGCGGGGGGAGGGCTGGGAATTTAAAGTTAACTCCGAAAGTTTGCTTTGCTTTGCTTCTTTCTTTCTTTCTTTTTTTTTGGAAGGCGGTGAAATGCCGCGAAAGGATCTCGAGGCCCATTTCTCCCCCAGCCAGCTGCTTTTGCAGGATTTTTGGGAAAAGTTAACTGCCGGTTTCCTCAGAGCTGCGCGGGATGGGGGGCCGAAGGGGGGGCAGATGTGGAGGGTTGGGGATGGCAGTTTTGGGGAAACTGGGAAACATTTTTTGGAAGGAGCTCTATAAACATGGCATTGTAAGGAGCTAGATCCTCAGATCTGGGGGAGAGGGCTGGCAAGAGGGGCTCAGAGTGGGCCCAGGATTTTCAGCAAAGACGCCTAGCATGAGGAAATAATCCTGCTGTCCCACCACCCTGTCCTCGAGCAGTGTGGAACCTTTGGGAGCTGTGTGTGTGGCGGTGGGCCTGTCTCCTTCATGGGTGGCCAGGACCCCCCATGTAGGCTGGAATCCTGCCTAGGCCCTGGGGTGACCCTTGGACCCTGAGGCAAGTGAGCTTGGCCCTTTGCAGTTGGAGAGCCCCCTCCCCAACCTGGTGGTCCTCCTGCCCCCAGAGGTGGCAGCTGGTGGTAATGCCTCCCTGACCCCACCCTATGATGAACTTTTGGTTGGGTGCAGGCCTGCAGCCCAGTGGGTCCTGTCTGAGGGGAGGGGCAGGAAAGGTAATCTGGTTTGCTAGTCCCCCTCGGTGTGAGCCTCACTCCTGTGGTATGCTCTTATTCCTTTCTGCCACTCCTGCCCTACGCCCTGGAGGTAGAAGCACTTTGGACTTCGGTTAAGTTCCTGAAGTATCTTGCTGGACAGGTCAGGGCCTGCTGGCTCCGCAGGCTGCCGAGGGGGATCTGAAGGCCGGGCCCACAAGGTCTGGGGTGAATGACTGGCGCTGTCCAAGGCACTGGGGGCAGTGTTGGGCCTGGCCTCTCATCTGTCCCCTACTCCAGCATTTCTTGGAGGGGAGACCCTTCTAGTGTCACTCCTGGTTTGTGTGCTGGCTCCACTAGACAGAGTGAGCTCCCAGAAGACAGAGTTGGGGGTTGAAAGCTGGGGTTAGGGGTTCAGGGCTGTGGAACTTGGCATGCCTTGGCCAGAGGGTACAAAGTCAGGTGATTTTTAGATGGAGGAACTGAGGTCCAGAGAGAGGAAGTGACTTGCCCGAAGTCACGCTACCAGGTAGAAGGAGGCTGAACCCGGGACCTGGGTCTTAAGGCTTCCACTGCTAGGCTCCCTCCACTGTTCTCCATGGGGGGCCTGGACCCCTGGAAGATCCGTTTTGAACAGAACTGGACTAGAATGGGACAGCATGATCCCTTCACCCCCTCCTACCCCCTGCCATAATAATCCTCCCTGAGAGAATTGAACTTTACAGTTTGCACAGTATGGTGTGGTGGTTATCACATCAGGTTCTCCCAGAAACTCAGTTGGGGTTAAATTGTCCTAGTGGGGATTATGAACCTCATTATAAGGAAAATAAGACTCAGAGAGGTTGAACAGTGGCAGAGGAGGCTTAAACTCAGGCCTGCAGGCTCCTCGTCTGGTCTTTCCCCAGGTGGACTTTGGTGCTTGTGGGAAGGACTCTTCTAGGTTTTGGGCTAATTCTTCTGCTGAATCCAGTGACTGTGTAAAAATCCAGAGGCCCACCCCACCCAAAGAATGTCAGAGCTGAAAAGGCTTAGCTGTCAGGAGGTCACCTGGGCTCAGAGAGGAGAAGCTACTGGCTGGAAGTCAGTGATTTGCGTCTCAGAACCGGACCTTGATCTCCTGCCTCCCTTCCTCTGTGACACTCAGAGGGACAATGAGCCTCTTTTCCCATTCCCAGGCTGCATGGGCCCCAGGATGGCAGGAATTGCTAGTGGGTGCTGGTGCTGGTGCTGGTGTCATGGAATAACAGCCAGTGCTCCATGGAGACATGAACTTGTCCCAGGGACTAAGGAATAGGCTATCTGCAGGCTTGGGGACGGAGGCAAGCTGGTCCCACATGGAAAGGAGGAAGCAGATGTGTGGGTGAGGTGGGGACCGGGTCTGAAGCCAGGCTGGCCCTAGCCCTTCCCTGGGCAGACACTTTTCTGCCTTGTCCCTCTGTAAAATGAGGAGCCATTCGTTCCTTCTTCTGCCACGGGCTATTTTATTCATTCATTTGTTGCCAGATCATTCCTTTATTTTTCATTATCCATTAATTAGTTTATTGGGTAGTCATCTCAGTAATCTACCCATCTGGTCTTCTGTGCAGTCCTTAGCTCACCCAGCCCACACTGCACAGACATGTGAGATACAAGTGTAGTCCTCCAGGGCTCTAAAGCCAACCAGGAAGAAGGGGTGAGACTGCAGGTGCATGAAGCACTAGCCAGGGCAGTGTTCGCTGGGCACCTCCATGAGTCCCCAGGGGAGGGCTCTCAGAGAATGGAAGTCTTGAAAACACCAAAGGAGTCCCATAAAGCTTCACAGTGGTAGACCTGGGTCCTGAGATTAGGTCCCATTGTGTCACATGGCTTCTGTGACTTTGAGCACATTCTTTCCCTTTCTGAGCCTCAGTTTCCTCAACCCTAAAATGGGGTACTTTCTGTGAATCTCTCATGGGTTGTTGGGAGTGATATCAAGACAGTGTATGACATGTCTCCCCGTCTTGGCCAGGCATGTGGTGGGAGCTCAGTATGTACCCACTGAGTTATAAGGATTGCTGATTACTGTCCTAGGCCCTGCCATGATTTTGAGAATGGTGATGGTGGTTTCAGAATGAGGCACATGATCTGAGCACCCTGCAAGCCCTGGTCTGCTTTGTCATTCCCCTGCTGAAACTCTTCTTATGTTTCCTAGGCATTTAGAAGACAAAATATCCGAAGTACTTTCTGGACCTACAAGGCCCTTAATAGTCCAGGCTCTGCCCACCTCTCAACCTTGGCTCCCCGCATCCCATCGCCACCTCCAGCCACACACTAGTTTCGTTCTGCACCTTGAATTCACGAAGCCTGGTGGCAGGGCCTTTGCACATTTCCCCACCAGGACAGCTTTTCCCTGAGTGTTTACATGACTGGCACCTTCTTGTTTCACAGGTTTTTATTTGAATGTTACCTCCTCAGAGGGTCTGCTTGGATCACTTGCTCTAAAATAGCTTCCTACTCTCACTCTCTCACATCAGCCGCTTTTTCTTTTCTCTTGTGGCTCTCACCAGTATCTGAAACCCTCTCGTGTATTTATTCACACTTCTTGCCTGTCTACACCACTAGAACATGCTGAAGCGCCATGCGTGTGAGTGAGCAGGTGGTTCTGGTGTGGCGTGGCTGGGGCTTTTGTAGAGGTGAGGAAATGCTAGGAAGTCCAGGTGTGGCAGCGCATTGCCTGGGAGATAAAGTTACACGGAGGGCTGTCTTCTCCTTCTCCCTCCGGGAGACTCAGGGCTGTTGTTAGGAAATAATGAGATGATTAAATCATGGAATCTAAGAATCCAAGTCTCTTCCAATCTCAGAGCTTTAGCATCTGAGAAGCTTTCCAGCTCAGAACCTTTGACACTTGGAATCTTAGCATGATAGCATGATCCAGTCTTAGGTTTAGAATCTTACAAAGTGGACTCTCACTGCCTTATTTAGCATCACAGAGTGCTCAGTTTGTGCCACGCCATGTTCTAAAAGCCTTTATAAATATTAACATAGTTACAGGTGAGGAAGCTGAGGCACAGAGATACTTAGGTATCATGGAGCAGTTGCTAGGATTTGAACCTAGCACTCTGGGGACTCCTTAGAATCCCTCAACTGTTGAGGGGAAGCCCAACCTCACTTGACCCTTGCACAGAGCAGGAATCCCTTTCTCACACCCTTGTCAAAAGGGCCTCTGGTCTGTGCCTAAACCCCCCTCCAGTGAGCTCCCTCCTAACCAGCCACCTAGCTTCCTGCTGTCAGAAAGTTCTCATTGCTAGTAAGATTTTCTTCTTTACAATGTGTAAAGTGCTGCACCTCCCTTGTGTGTAACGCCTGGGAAGTGATGTTAGTGTCATGGTTTCCCAGTGCCTTTGACCTTGTGGATTCCTGGTTTCAGTAGCCTCTTTCTTCCCACTGGGTTGTAGGAAGAAAGGCAGACAGCCTCAGTGCATTGTTGAATGTAAGAATGAATGAATTGATGCACAAAGACCACATGAACCCTCAGGATTTCTGAGTTCCTCTCTCTCTAGCCTGGTGCTCGGCACTCATCCGGGGTAATTGGTCAGGCTTGGTGTACTCAGGAAAAGGAGACACTGTTATCTCTCCAATAAAGTGTGTATCTGATGACATTTATACGTGCAATTCTTGGAGAATCATGTGAGATCTAAAATCATGCACTATTAGGAGCAAGGTGGATGTCCCAGATTATCTAGCCAAACTTCGTTCTACCCGTTGGGGAAATTGAAGTAGGAAGGGAGAGGAGCAGGCCTTGTCCAAGGCCATGTGCATCTCTGTCTGCTCCCCAGAGCCCAACAGGCTGCCACAGTATCTGCTTTGGGGTTCAAAGGCAGGGGAAAGCACTCGATGGGACAGCTGCTGCTTCTCTAGTGGAGAAGAAACCCCTGTACAATGGGGGCAACATTTTTGGATGCACAGGGTGCACCTGGCACTTGGGGGGAGATTGAGGAAGCCAGCTGCATTGAGAGTGGGTTGGGGCCATGGTGATGGGGATGGCTTTCTAGAACCGGGGCTGGAACTAGGCTTTGGAGGCTGGCTGGAATTTGGGGGAGGTGGCTGAGTAGTGTCTTTAGTGGATAAGGTGTGTAGGGAAGGCCGAGGGATTTGACTTTGGCGCCTAAGAGGTCCTGCTTTGTTCCCTGCCTCATCCATGTGGCCACAAGGATACCGTTGGTGGGGTCTCCACCATCTGGGTCCCTTTCTGAACTTTGGGCAAAGGCTTTAGGATTCTTTTTTTTTTTTTTTTTTTTTTTTTTCCGAGATGAAGTCTCGCTCTGTTGCCCAGGCTGGAGTGCAGTGGCGCGATCTCTGCTCACTGTAAGCTCCGCCTCCCGGGTTCACGCCTTTCTCCTGCCTCAGCCTCCCGAGTGCTGGGACTACAGGCGCCTGCCACCACACCCAGCTAATTTTTTTTTGTATTTTTAGTAGAGACGGGGTTTCACCATAGTTAGCCAGGATGGTCTCAATCTCCTACCTCGTGATCCGCCCGCCTCGGCCTCCCAAAGTGGTGTGAGCCACCACGCCTGGCCAGCTTTAGGATTCTTAAGGGGACAGTCTAGGCAGCCATTCCAGGTTCTGCGGCTCTGTGGGGGTGCACCTGCCTAAGAGGGGGCACAACCCTTCAACACACTCAAATACATTCATACATATTCACACTATTGGCTTTTCCATGACCACCCCAACCCTACCTCCTGCACCATCCTTGCCAATGTGGAGCACTCCTCTGCTATTTCAGAAATACCACCACAGATGTCCTAAACTGGACCCCTAGGAGCCAGGAGTTCAGGAAGCATGTCTGCTGGAGTGTGCATGCACACACGGTACACACATCACACAGGAGCACATGCATGCTCTCTTGCCACTGGTAGGACCACATACCAAAGTGCCCTCTCCTGGGAAACAGCACTCAGCCACATGCTTGATCATCTGCACATTCTCCCACACGCATGGTGTTCATCTGAACACAGCTCTGCTCCCTCAGGCCTCCTTGTGCACACGTGTGTTTTTACATGTAGATGAGTCTTGCATGCGCACACTCATTTACACTTGAGATAAGATAGCCTCAAATTCTAGGCCTTGCGCAGCATGTCTCATACACACCCTTGCACTCACGCCTGCACCCACACCTGGCCTAGATCCGCTGGAAATGGTGGAGCCGGCAGCTCATTTCCATCTCCTGCCTTCATTCACTAGTATTTCTTGAGCATTTACTATATCCAGGCCTTGTGCTAGATGCTGGGGATAGGGGGGAGGAAACCTGATGTATATAGGTCCCTGCCCTAGCGGAGGTAGACAGGCACTGTAAAAAAGATCACACAAATGATGATGATGATTTTTTTTTTTTTTTGAGATGGAGTCTCACTCTGTCACCCAGGCTGGACTGCAGTGCACAGTCTTGGCTCACTGCAACCTCCACCTCCCAGGCTTAAGCAATTCTCCTGCCTCAGCCTCCAGAGTAGCTGGGATTACAGGCGTGTGCCACCATACCCGGCTAATTTTTGTATTTTTAGTAGAGATGGGGTTTTGCCGTGTTGGTCAAGCTGGTGTCAAACTCCTGACCTCAGGTGATCACCCACCTCAGCCTCCCAAAGTGCTGGGATAACACGCATGAGCCACGGTGCCTGGCCGCATGATGATTAAGATTAGAGATTTTGGTCACTATGATGACTGATGATGGGGGAGAGGCAGAGGGAACGGCCTGGGTGGAGACCCCGAGGTGAGAAATCCAGGGACGAGAAGGTGGTGGCACTGGGACCTAGGGAAGGTGCAGGGGATGAGGCAGCAGGTGAGGCTGAGTCTGGTGGGGCCTGTAGCCAGTCTTCCCTGGCCTGTTCCCCGAGAGCCATTTGTCCACCCCATACCCTCCCCACTCCTGTCTCTCCCCAGCCCAGCCCAGCCCAGCCCTCCCTTTGCTGCTGTGGCCTGCTTGGGGCCCGCTCTGTCTGCTGGCCTGCACCCCAGCTGGAGGCCTATTTGGCCTGCCCCACAGGCTGCCTGCCCTGGAGGTCCTGGGGTATAGCAGGGAAGCAGGCTTGACTACCTGCCAGGGGTTCCCTGTCCAGGACCCCTGAGACCTGTCTCAGAAGCTCCTGAGGGCCGGGCCAGAGCCAGAGTCCAGCAGTTGGCTTTCCTGTTTTCAGTGAATCTCAGACCTGGATCTTTGCCAGTCAAAAGAATGGTCCCTGTGGGTCCTGAAGGCCGCCTAGAGCTACTGCCACTCCCCACCCCCCAGATGGCATCACTGGCTGGTCAGATTTCCATGTGGGTCTTTGGAACGTTGGGAAAAACTCCCTTAGGCCTTGGAGAACCTAGCAACAGCAACGGCAGCTGACTGTTCAGGAGTCCTCACTGTGTGTCAGGCAGTGTTCGAAAGATTTTATCCATATTAGCTCACTTAGTCCTCCGTACAACCCATGGAGATACCATGATCATCCCCAGTTTACAGATGAGAAAATTGAGGCTTGGAGATTTTGGTAACAATCCCAAGGGCCTGAGCTGGGACTATCTGCCTCCAGAATCCAGACTTTTAACCCTCAAGCTGTCACATTCCCCTTTAAGGGTCCAGGAGCCCAGGCTATGATTTGGTTGAACCCCTTTACCTTAAAGAGGCAGAAAAAGAGGCCCAGAGAGAAAATGGACTTGCCAGAGTGTTCTGTTACCTCTGCCTGCACCAGATGCATGGCC